AACTATACAACTGGCAGGTGTTTAAACAGTATCCTTCTCCTCTGTGTTTTGAGGCTCAAGATTTATAGTGTTTTGTGCCATAAGCAGAGCACTAAAGAAAAAAAGAGTCCAACTTTTGGAGCTCCTTCCCATGTTTTCTATTAAGTCCATACATCATTGTTGTTCACCAATAGGAAGTCCTATGAGCCATGCTTTCAAAGAAAATGCCCTTATTGCTGCTTTATAAGCTACTGAATGATGAAATGCAGACTACAGATTTTATTTTGTCAAATTTGAAATATTTGTCAGTCCTGTTGATTAGGGTATAATTCACCAGTATTTTACACAACTCGGATACCTTTTTGTCTTGTGCCTGCTTAAAAGTCTGAAGGTTGTTATTAAATGAAAGAGAAAGAAGGCAATTATTAAATCAATGGTCTAACTCTTGTGATTTACTTTTTACCTCCTCACAGTTACTACAATGGAAAAACTTAAATGAAAACCAGAGTAGGCAATACAAGGAAGTCATGTAACAAGCGACAGTAATCCACATAGGTTATTCTCCCAAATGCCCAGTCAGAGGTCTCAAATGGCTAATGTGGTTGAAATGTGTAATTCAAAACTACAAATAATACGCTTATGAATCTGGACATGTCCAGTGCACCTTGGAAGCAGATGTGAGGGGGAAAAAAAAAAAGACTGCAGTATATCTGATTTCAGCTAAACAAGGTTGCAAACTGAATTATCTATTTCCTCTCACAGAGCTGGAAGATACAACACTGCAAAGCTACCAGTAATCATTTTAAATGCAATTAAATCTAATTAGGATTAGATTTTAATGGTAATCTGGGAATATTACATTTGCATTGGCTATCCAGTGCCCTGATTTACCCATGTGTATGCTACAAGAGTTTAGAGAAGAAGTGAAGATCAGATACGTTACAGCTTTACATTTCTATCGACATTTCAGGCCAGATCTTGAAATGCACACCCTCCAGTACTGAAAACACCTAAGCATGTTGTCTTGTTCCACAAATTTCAACACACAGTGCTTATGTTCCCCATTGAAGTTATGTTTATGTGGGACTGAGGTATTCTTTCCTACAGTAGAAAATTTACTTATTTCATATAACATAGTTAACCACAGTTGCTTCAAATTACATCACAACCATTTCATAAACAATCTCAAAATTGAATTCAGGTATTTCCTTGCTTAAACTCAAGGTTAGGAGACAATGTGTATATCCCCATTTTTTGTTCTCCTTGGCAGTTCCCCAAGTAAACTCAAACATACCATTTGTATTTGCAAATCCATTTTTACTTGGCAAGATCAATGTCTAGTTGTTTCAGAAGTTTTTATTATCAGGTAGTGACTGCCTCTCCAATATTTCCAGTAAGACATAACCCAAAGCTGCTTCTTTTCCCTCCATATTCTCAAAATCTTGATAGTTCAGTTTCTTCTAAATAGGTTATTCCTCAGTTACATCCCTGATACATGACCTGAGCAGAGATGAAGCAGAAAGAGCTATGCTGACAAGGCGTAAGGAAGTGTCAGGGTGAGATCCTGATGTTGGTGAGGAAGAAGGGGGAAGAAGGTGCCGAAGCAGAAATTTCCTTGCAGCCCTGAGGGAGAAGGCAGGCTGTCCCCCTGCATTCATGGAGGAATGTGGTGGAACAATCCCTGAAGGTGCCAGGAGGGGCAAGTGTGCACTTGCAGCCTGTGAATTTGGATCATGCAGCCATGGAGGACCCTGTGCCAGGAGAGGTGACTGTTCCCCCAAGTTGAGTCTGTTTTGCCTGGGTCTCCTTGTCCTTGTCTTGACCCATGGAGCTTCTAGTTGGCCTTTGTCCTCCCCCTCCATGTGTGTGTGCCTCTGTGTGTGTGATCGGATTAAAGCCACAGGATGTGGCACTCAAACCTAGTGAAGAGATAGGGACATGAATGATGCAACTATTTAGGTAAAGTAAATACATTCAGATGTAAGCAAAGCACTGCATTCCCTCCACCTCCTCCAATAGACCAATATTTTTTTCAATGCTCCTCTAAGTTAACTTCTGTCTTGTATTTATCAAGAGACTTCTCAGTGAAATGATAAATTTGAATCAATTACTCTGCTCTACCCTGAAATGTAATTTTGAAAAAAGAAATACACATATGCTCAGACAGATTTATTTCACAGTGAGAAGGGTGAACTTTCAGACCGTCCACAGCCCAATGTCAGCAAAGTTCCTCTGGAAATAAAGGGAACTGTGTGTGTCAGAGCCTGCACCCTGTGTTTTACAGTTCTCTTCTGTGGTTACATCAATCCTCTTTACTATGTTGGATACAAGTGGTGAAACAATGGAAGTGCTTAAAAGATTTACCTGTGATTTTAACCTGCTATCTGAATTATCCAGGGATTTCCTGGAAATGATTACTAGATGCTGAAGGACAAATGTAACCTAGAATTGCCTAGTGGGAATTTCCATCTCACACTGCAGTTTAATGAAGATCCCAGTAGCAAATCCTAACATTTTAACTGAAGGCAAGGAGACTTATTTTTATACATTGCATAGACTCCACTTTATGAGCTACCAATTTGCAAATGTGCAATAAAAAGCCCTTTGGCTAAATACAGACATTGGAATAAAGTGTGAGCTAACAGTAATTTCATCCCACAAGTGTTCTTGCCCATACAACCTAATGAAGAAAGATTCCTTTAAGATAAGAGAGAGCACTGAAAAGGAAGAAAAAGGTTCAAATGGAGAAAAAAAGAACTACAAAGAAATCACAATGTTGCACAGAACCAAAACATCCAATTACGCTTTGATCATGGGTTGAATTTTAAATGTTACTGTCATCATTATTTTCAATTGCACAACTTTTTCAGTGATTACTTGATATCTATGATATATGTCAGCTGTACAGAAAAACAAAGCATGTTATAGGCAGAAGCAGCAGCTTATCTTTCAGACATAAAGCCCATCTCTCAAATGTTATTGAGAAGCCTGTCAACAATGCAAATCAAGTACCAAGTGGAAATCAGGCATAATGCTTAATTCCTTCAATCAGCATTTTCCTGCTTGCCAGGAGCACCTCTTTTGGGCAGGGCTGACAAGGTGCAAGCTAATTTACAGATCCAGGAGGGGTCAACTGCATCCAGATAGCACTGCTCCCATGTTAATTAAAAGAAGACTGAAAACTAAAGTTCACTCAGAACTGGTAGTAAGGGAAAAAAATAACTCAAGGAAGCGCTGAGTGTTATGAAGAGCAAGCAATGAAGCGATCACCTGATCTTCATGTCAGTCAAATGACTGTTGTTTCTGATTAAAGATTTTAGAAGTGTTACATCAAACATACAGACAAGGTTACTTTCTATTTAGCTGGGAGCACCTCATTAAATATTGTATTAATTTTCACTCTCACACTCATTTCCAGCTAGAGCATTCAAACCACATGGGAACACCAGACATTAGGCTCTAAGACTGAAGAGCACTGAGCTAGCTCTCTGGAATATGAAGGCTCCTCTTTTTGGATGGGACCTTCTGCAAGTCAGCCCTTTGCCTGCATACTAAAGCTTGCAAAATGAAGCAGCCATCTCACAGGTCCTGAGGGTACCAGGAACACTACACAGGAGGAAAGTGAGGACCAGGGAGCTGCCCAAGCTTTCTTTGCTGTAAATGCTTTCTGGTTGAACTCACGAGATAGCACTCGTGGTACCTGATAAGCTACTTCTAGCCCATAGAATTTGTTATGTTAAAGGATAATATAATAAAAAACCCATGAGATTCACAGGGTCCAGGGTGAAGTGCTTTCCTCCTATCCAACATGTGAGACTATCTCCGATGACTCTTTTGGTGTTCTGTAGTAACAACCTGATACTATTTTGTGTTTTCTAAACATATTTTCTAACAAATATTTTCTAATTAACTATTTTTTCCCAATTAACTAATATTCTCCAATTGACTCGTTCTTCTATTACCTGATTTTGTGATAACATCCACAGACACAAAACAATTCTCAAGAACCTGTGCAGTTACAACCTGGGTTGAATTAATGTTTTGCAGGATAAAAAAGGTAACAGGATGAAAGTTAACTAAAGCTCCACTTACATATGGAGAGAGCAGAATCTCATGTTTTCAGAGCAGAATCATTGTTAATAAATCTTTTTAAAAGCATTGGGATTTCACTTCAAAATTAAAGAATGAATCACTGCATATAAAAAAAAACAACAAAAACCAAATACTGCCTTAATATTGTTATGCTTTTTTTCTTGGAAATCTATTTATTTATTGTAGCTAGCTAACAGAAAGACTGTTTTTCTTGCTTTCTCACCCCTTCCCACAAGTGATCAAAGGTGTCTGTCATGTTTCACCATTTACCCAGAACAGCAGGGTGTGCCTCAGCAGTCTGCTCCTCTCAGATCACTTATGTCTGCTGGAGAGACAGCTCCTTTCAAAAAAAGTTGGTGGTTGGTAAAAATCAGGTCTTTCGCTGACCCCTTCTCCAGACTGTTGGTTCTCAGAGCACACTTTATTTAGATCCTGTTTTCCTTGAGAGGAGCAAGCTGTTTTTTAATCTCTAACTGATTCATGTCTTTCACATCATGCCTCCATGATACCAAACTGTCTTAATAATAAAGCAAAGAAAGACACTCATTTAGTAACACATAAGCTTTGGGTACAGTACTAGGAACAGCACAGTTTAAGAAAAACACAAAACCCAAAATTCTTTGACCTGTCAAGGGATATGTGCACTACTTAGACATCACCAAAGATGCTTTCCAAGACAAAGCAGGTTCTTGCTTAAAACCATTTTTTCCTTTGCAGCCCTTTTAGTCTGCCAGCCATTTCCTCTTCCATTCCAAGCTGCATTCCTTTCAACAGCACTCATAAACTCAAAAATTGAGAGATCAGCCTATATACACTATGCATTTGTATACTAAAATATGTCCTCAGCAAATAGTCATAACATAAATCAATAACTAAACGATGAAACTTCTTTTTATAACTAATTTCAGATTTGATTGTGAAGCACCTACCTGAACATGTCTCCTAAGCCTTTCAGCATTCCTTTCTTCGCCTTCATTTTATCCTTCTCTTTATCTCGATCTTTCTTCTTTTCCTTTCCAGCCTTTTTTCTGTCACCTTTATCTTGGCTTCCATTCATCTGTCTCTCCAATGAATGGGATGGCTGGTCACTTGCTGTGGACACAGATTCTCTACCAGATCTTGAGCTTTCCTCTGTGTCTTCCTCCACTGAAAGCACATATTAAGAAACATTAGTGGGCTAAGAACAAACAACAGGGGCAAGCTTTCTGGCATATTGCATAACGTATTTAGAAGCACGATATATGCACAACCACAAAATAATCTTTTTTTTTTTTTTTTCAAAATAATAATCTGCACATGTAGGGATGTCCTGGAATGTTAATTTGTACTACTAAAACTCCTAAAAGCAAGGAATTCATCTTTGCAGAACGCTGCAAAACAGAATTTGTGCTCTGTGGGTTCTTTCAACAGTGTATGGATTAATAAAGAGGATTAGCAAAGTGATGGTAATCAGCCCATTTTATTTCAGTGGCTAAATCAGCTGAAGAGGGCTTTAAAAATACCTGTTAGAAGAAAAAACAGCAGTGCAGCACACTCTTGTCAGTAAATTCTTAAGAACACTCTCATAAAATGTTGGAAGTCATCAAGGATTGCTAACCCTCAATACCAGCTTTAACAGATTTTTTCTTCTGCTGCAAGTAAAAAAATGTTTTTGTCATACTACTTCAATTCCTGGAGCAGTTTAAAACACACAATGCACTGTGGGATAGGGCAGCCTGGGAGTCTTGGGTGTGGAGATTCCATCCAGTAGAACAAGTAAAATCCTTTAAGGGCAAATAACATGTTACTTGCCTGTTTCTAATCCAAGACTTCAAGAATCCTAAAGTATACCCAAAGTTAGATTTAAGAGAGCACATGCATTTCAGAAAGTCTGGGGAAAAAAAATGGTCAAAAGAAACAATCTTCCAGCAGCTTACTGAAAAAGAAATGCAACAAATCTGTGGGTCAGAATCCTGCAACAATTTTGACTTAATGTCAAGTCCAAAAATTATACTGCATGGCTGGTGAAACTCTGACCTTGCAGGAGCTCTAACACTTTGCATCATCACATTATAAACAGGGCTACACCACCTCGAATTTTCCAACAGCCTGCATGAAGCAGCAGTTAGAATCACAGATGTAGCTTTAATGAATACAAAGGCTCCAAACAACTTTTGGCAGTAAAGTTGAAAAATACAGTTTTGCTTTATATATACACAGCCTATGGAAAAGAAAATTTTTCTTGTAGACAGTAAGATTTGCAAATGGCCATGGCTTATAGAAAGAAAAAAGAATAATTTTTATTTTAGAATATGTTTGCTACTTATTATTCCTCTGTAACTCTTCTACAGCCAATAGAAATGCGTACTTCTTTAGAAGTGTCCATACATAGACTACTGTAGAATATAAACTTGGTCTTCTCAGTCATCTTTCATATTCACCTTACAAATAATTCATTGAATGCAAAAAGTCCACAAATCACAGACTGAAAGCTATTCTCTACTGTCTCTTCTCTCTCTCAGATACTTGTCTGCAAAATACTGTTTATCCATTAATATTACAATAGACAGACCTGTCCAATAGACTTAGGACTTATTCACTGAATACCCCAAGATTTCTATAAATTTTCTCCAGGCCTGGAAGATCACATAAACATATTTCAAGAAATACATGCCATGTCAGATAAATCTCAACATTAATAGCTATTTCTGAATCTCAACTAGTACTCTGAAGTACAAATCACCAGGAAAAATTAAAAAGGGCTGGCGTTGGCATTTCATGTTAACTTGTCTTCAGGACCACAATGAATTAAGCTTCTCAATTGTAGGCACGCTTTTAATATTTAGATAATTTTATTTTGGAAAATTAATAGGCCTTTCCTATACATGCTCTGTACTAGCTGTACTTGTACTTTTTTTGGTCACACTGTTTCTTAATCAATGTCTGGGATGATATTTAGTTATTATTAGAAGAGTAGTGGAGAACCACTTTGGAATAGAGATGCTAATTTTCTGCATGGTAATTTATAGCTACAATCTGTTCCAGTTAAAACCAACTAGACATTTAAAAGATTCTACTTGCAAATGAATATAATTAGTAAAAGAAGTGCATTAAATTTCTGACAAATTCTGAAGTTAAATGTTTACTTGGTACTTCATTGCTAGACTTTTAAAGACAAATCAGTTTTGACCTATTGTTGTTCATATTCATATAACAATGCATTAAAATAATCCTAAATATGTATTAAGTTTACTATGCTGTGCTGAGTTGCTGAACAACTTGTCATAACAATGCTTCCTCTCATTATTTATTTTGCATCTTCTGTGAAGATAATATTGCCTCTTTTGCACACTTGTGCTGCAATAAATATCTGTCTATAATACACAGTGTGCTTGCAATTAACTCCACAGCTTAGACTGAGCTCTGTGAGCTAGGATGCCTGTTCTCCTGGAATAAACACTGGTGTCTCTACTGGAGCAAAAAGATTTCCCATTTTCTTAAAAAGGACCCAACATAAAAAAACTTGTTTCACTTTTATACAGCAGAGTCATTCTGAATTAACATATACCTAATTACTAGTGTTCAGAACAAATGCAAATGCTGCTCAATTAAAATTCAAGCCCAGGCTACAAATGAAACTTCTAATTTTTGCTAAGCTGCAGTAATGATATGAGGTTACTGCAAAACGCAGAATATGTTTGTTTTGGTGCTGTTATTTCCTTCCTTACTGGCAACCTCCTGCCTCCCCATTCAGGATGTTGAAGCCAAAAAATTAAATGGAGTATACTTTAAACATCAATTAAACCTGAAAACTAGTGTCATTTCATGAAGCATACTATACTATGGAGAACTGCACAAACAGGTATTATGAAGCTATTCTCCTAATTAGGCTATGAAATGGAAAAGATGCACATGAGAAATCAAAGCTACTTAATGTGAAGCTATTTTGCTACTAAGCTTCTAGGCCTCTTATTGTGATATTTAATACAGCCCCAGATTCTAGCAATTAAGATTCAGCAAAAGATTAGAAAGCTTTGTTGATCTCTCCCAATCCAAATGCCTGGTTCTCATTCAAGACACTAAAGATAAACATTTTGCTTTCAGTCAGCTATTTCAAGTATTAAAGGGAAAAAAAAAAAAAAAAAAAAGCAGGAAAATTGATATGTAAAGGCTGAACACCCACACCTTTCTACAAATGTTACTCCTTTACAGACATTAAAACTCACACGCATCTTCTCAAACACTTTTTAAAATGTTGACCAGATCTAGTCACTGCTATGTGATTTTCATCCTACATTTAGCACTTTAATAGCACATTGTTTCAAGGACACCAAGAAGAAAAGCAGCCCCTTTGTCACATAGGCTACCTGTGTATTTACAGCTTTTGTACAAGTGGGGATGACTCGTTAAGAATTTCTCTGTACCATATATTGAAGTGCTATTATTTGTTTCTCCAAAGAGTATCACTGGAAGGAAGAAGCAGTCTTAGCACTGAAACACTTGGAGGAGAAAAGGGAAAAAAATCAAGTAAAACAAATGGATCCAACCTCAAGGGCATCAGCAAATTGACCACCAGCATGTTTGCCTTGGTTTTATAATGAGAATAAGCCACATTTTAATTTCATACAATTATGGAATAATTAAATACAATTAAAATAAAAAAAACTTAGGCATTGTCATTATGGAAGAAGTGAGGCATTCATTATGTTAGTAACTGATTGTTTAATTAATTTACACATACTTGTATGTGCACAGGCTTTGGCCACCATGAGAAAAGACCTCAAGAACAGAATTCTGTCCAGCAACCATACTGTATTTGCTACTCATCTGCTTCTATTAACCTGGCACTGTAAAATTCTGGATTACTTCTTAGATATTTTGCTATAATAGATGGACCCTATTAAAACACAACTCTACAGAACGTGCACTTTTATACACATAGCATGGTCACACTTTGCTCAGCCCTTCCTTACCATGTGAGATTTGAGAACAGCCATGCTTTTGCTTTCCCTTGACAAAGAGATGGCCTTTGGTCCACTAGTGCTAGACAACTTCATCCATACACAGATATGAGGGGCAAAGACTCACTCTGTAGCATTTTGATGTCTGTTACTCCCATGCAAAGGATACAAAGGCCACCAAATACTGCCTTGCTACTCTCTATGCATTGCATCAACAAGCTCAAAACTCCTTACAGTAATCTCATAAACCCATACTCACCTAGTAAGTGTTTCATAACAGTTTTGCTATATTTTTGACCAAATTAAGTTAAACCATCTGTAACTTTTAGATAAGCTTTGGTATCTTATGTCTCACAACAGGGTATTACTATCAGTGGGCTCACACCAAGCAAGGCCTTTTAGAAAAACATGGTCTTATGTCCCAAAAGGCCATAGGCATGCAGTCTGGGAGAATGATCAGGATCACTACACATTTTCTCATAGCTATTCTTCTACTGGCCAGACACAGATTGACAGCCAACAGCACCAGATCAGCATTTAACCTCACTGCTGCGTGAAATTGCTGGTGGTGGAAAAGCAAAGCAGAATGAATTCCATCCCTAACTACCTCTGAGAAAAGTGACTTGCAAAATGACCTTCCTTTCAGCCTCAGAACACTTTTAGAAAGAGGCATTAAAAAAACCCAAACCAATCAACCAAGAAATAAATTTAAAAAAAAAAAAGATATTTACAAAAATAAAGGAGTGATTATACAAGTAGCTTAATAAAGAATATCAGACAATGATGCTTATGAAACAGACTCTGAAACTAAGAAAAAAAAATTAAAGAGCAGAGAGTGAAAAATCTCTTTTCAAGCCTTTTCTGTTAGCATTCAGGCTAAATATCTTACTATTTCAACCTTCCCACCATCATCTTCATTCATAAACTTCTACCTAGCTGTATGTTGCTAAAAAAAAACCCCTGCTGGTATGTGACAAGTTGAAAGTAGTACAACATGAAGGTTAAAAATACAATGATTTTAATACAACTCCTGATTGTGGTAATTTACTATTCATACTATTTTCATTCAATACAAGTTGTCATTTTACCAGCCCATTCTTACATAGTTCAATAATAATAAGGTTAGTTGTGAAGTGATTCTTTTATGTTAATGACATTCTCCACATGTTGGGTCATACATTGGGTTAAAGAACTGAAAATGTAAATGAATGCCCATTAGGGTGGGTAATAGCTGATCATTAACTTTATATTTTATTAGATCTGCCAGCCTTCCTCACTCTAATTAAAGGACAGCAATTTCTTTTTTTCCCCCAGACACTACAAATGTATTCTTTTAAAGTTAGATGCACATGTTTTTGTAACATAAATTCAGTGGGTTTTTTGTCTTCTACATTAGTAAACTAATTAGTTAACTGACATAAAATTTTCATAGTAATTTATATTACTCCTAATAATCTTATTTCCTTCTTTTAGAAAGGAAGGAAGCTGCAGTGTTATCCGTTAATGCATAAGGGGAAAAGCCTGAAAACTAATTGATGAATAAAAGTTAAGTCCATTCTTTAAAATCCTAAAATTATCTTCTACTACTTTTAATCACTTTCTCAAGGAATTAACCTGTGATGTTAACATTCTTTGTATACAGCAATAGTTTACTTACAAGTTTCCATGCCTTCATCATCATCATCAGCTACAGGTTTATCATACGATTTGTCTATGGCAGCTCTGAAGCTCTCATTGCAGCCTCGTCCTCGGATAATTCGCGGGCGCGGGCGGTGGAAGGGAATATCACCATTCAGAGTCACCTCAGCAACGGCTGTCTGCAGACTTTCTAATGAGCTGGATTTCTTCAGACCTAATGAAGGCCCCACATCTCTGGTTGGGGAACCTGAGTGATTTAGGGGGGGAAAAAAAAAAAAAAAGTAATTAGAATTAGTATAGAGAACTGCATGCTTGATTATGCACATCCATCCTGAAAGTCTTTGGGGACACACTTAACATTATTCACATCATCTCTCAATAATCTGTAGGGAATTCTCTGCAGATTGGTTGGTCTCAGAAGTGAATGAGTATGTCAAGTTATAGTCAACGAAACCGACAATGTTTACAATGTCTGGCTTTTCAAATCAGTGAAGAGAGACCAACATCCATTACTATTATTTTGACAATTTGAATGATAAAGTAATCACGGGGCTTTAAAAACATAGCTCGTAAAAACAACAGAGATACATATCTACTGGCATCAAACAAAACTATTCATTATTTTTTGTTTGAGCTGAATATTTCATCTGTACTAGCAACTGATGAACAGAGAGCTGATTATGGGCGTGAATACTATTGTGTTTAGAGTAACAGTCTTGCATAGTAGCCTGACTTCTGGCTTCAAGGAACATGCTGTTTGCTTTTAATCAAGTTTTAAAGATTTTCATCAAATTGCTAACAATCTCATAATTAAATGCTTCTGAGAAATATCAGTTGACTTCCTGGGATTTTGTAAGGCTGTTTAAAAATTATCTGTGGAAAGGGCTCAATTACTCAGGCAATACCAGTTACCCAGCTGGAAAAGAAACACATTCCTGGCAGTCACCAGGGGGCTGAGGGCAGTTCTTGTCACTGCAGCATTTCCAGAGGTCTGCCAAGAAAGCCCCAGACACTATTTTGCAAAACCTCTTCCTTATCTAGCCTTTTCTTCTCAAGTTTGTGGACTAAATGTATACCCTCTGCTTTTAGATACACACACAGTGCAAATCAGCTGACAATTGCACACTTAGATCTCATATTATTGTTAAAACTGGGAGGGATCTTTCGGGGGAAAAATATTACTGCATTTAGTTGAAGTCAGTTTATTAAAAAATGCACTATACTCTTGGCCTGATTTTCCATAGGATTTGGAGCTGGAGAGAAAGATGAGATGAAACATCATCATCATAGCTTATTTCCTGAAGTTACAAGACCAGAGCCCTTGCCTATAATATGGAAACCTCACTTTTTCTGTACCAAAAGGGAGCAGAACAAAGAAGGGTGTTGTAACACCATGGCAGCCCCAGGTGGTGGGTTCTTACTCCATTGATAACACTATCCTCATCTGACAGAGGCACAGACATAAATTTCAAAGCTGAGAGAGAGAGTCAAGAACTGAAGCCTCAGGAATACCACACCAATGAACAAAACATTTGAAAGCAAGGCCTGGTGTGAATAATGCAATAAACCCCATCTTTTTTAGGTATTTATCTCAGAATAATACAAAGCTCTGGAGTTGATCCCTATTCTGGTAGATACTAGGAGGGTGAGGAGCAACAATACCTGTCACTGTTCTTTCATGTGAATTGACCTTACATTGGGGAAAATTGCTACTACGCTACTAAAATTGCTTCTTTCACTGTTCAGTATTGGATGGGGAGGAAGGGGGTCACTGGGCATGCAGAAGGGATGCAGAATAGCAGCATGGCAACTCTTCTCCATGTTGTTTGCTAACTTAGTATGAGAGGGAGCGAGGCAGCAAACACTTTTGTTTTTCACTCAGCTATTAAATGTCTGAGCAATTAAGTTAAACTGAAATCCCTCAGATCACATAAATTTTAACAGCAGCTGTCAAACAAAAATCCTCCTTCACAGCTCTACACAGATCCAGCAGTTTGGTTCCCCCAGTGGTCCCTAGTCCTGCTGTTTGGACCTTCAGCCTGAAATAAACCTGTCTCCACAAGTGAGCAATTTTATGCTGGTGAACTCACAACTCCTAGAAGAAGCCACCCTCACTCACAGCTCGCACTTTTCAGAGGGACGAGGGTCATGAAGATGGTTGGGGACACAGTGCAGCTGCTGGGCTGCAGAAGAGCAGCCGGCTGGGACAAAGGGGGTTTGATGGCTTCCCAGCTGTGCAAACAAACTGTAGTCCAGGTTCTCCAAAATTCTGAACATGGGCTGAAGTCTAAGGCAAGTATTTTTATATAGCACTTTCTCTACCAAGTAAAAGAATACCAATTTAGACAGTGCCCTGTAAAACTGTCCACTTTCTAGCATATGCCAAAGTCTATTCCTCCACTAGTGGAGGAATGCCTGGAGTTCACAAGAAAGGAGATTTTACTTTGTTTCTCACTTTTCAAGATTGTAAAAACAGTCCATGAGACAGGAAAAATGTATGCAACATCTTGAAGGGAAAAAAAGAGGAAATGGGACAATCACATATAAGCCAGCTGTTTGACAGATTCAATTTCATATACAAAAGGAAAGGGTATTGTCTTACATGGCAACTTACTGTAAACTTCCTTATTCCAGATTCTGCCTTGCAACCTTGAAATGAAATGCTCATATATCTTTTCCTAATTACTGAGTAGCTCTTTTTGTAAACAGCAATTATACAGAAGGCATTTACATGCCCACTTATGTTCATAGAGGACATTAAAAAATTTCCATTTCCTGCCACCCAGCAAAGATCTTTGTGAGAACTGTATTTATGTAAGTTGTGCTTTCCCAAAGGACAAGCTAGTTGGGATATGACCTAATGTTCCTTGAGTACTGTAAAACTAATAATGGATTACAGAAATTATAGGAACATGTATTGAACTTGGGTGGCCATGAAGACAAATGTGGACAGGTTACAGAATCTGAAAGGGGGGAAATGTCTTTTTGCAAGCACTTTAAGCACTGTGATCAGAAAGCTATGTATATATTTCAATACCTTCACTATCTTCTATAGCCACTTCACAGCAACTCTATTTTCAAAATATATAAATAAGCCTCCCTGTAAACTGAGTGAATTCAGAATTTATTACTAGAATTCACCAGCCAGGAAGTGAGTTGTTTACCCATAATCCGGTGAGAAAAAGCAAACTTTCTTTAAGATGGATTCTGTTTAAAATGTATGAGTCACATCAAAACCTTGTTTTCCAAATACAAAAATGTCAGCATTTTCTTCCAGCCTTTACAGTGCTGGTGGTAACAATCAGAAATGTTATCTGCTCAGAACTACTTCTATTTTGACACCAGAATTTAAAGCAGAAAAAAAATAAGAGAAAAAGACACATTTACCTAACTCATCTTTATATGACTGAGGGATGAAAGGGATTCTTTTATAATTTTAAAAATTTGATGTTTATCAAAATTTTCCTTTCCAACTATTTTCATAACAAACATCCTTTCAGGCAGATGCTCCCCTCTGTAGCACAGCAGTCTTCCTACTGTGGCTGCCACCACAGTGCAACCTCCTCACTCTCTGCTTACTCCCTGAGCTGCACAGCTCTACTCTCCATGCCACAGCCCCTCATCCACGTCTCAAGGGCTGTGCAGGATGCTCCCACCACCTGCCCACCACAGCCCCTGCCCACCACACATGCATCATCCCTCCCCCTATCCCCAGCTGGCCAGCCCTTGGGGACAATGGGCAGTCTTGCCCTCCAGGCCATGCAACCACACTCTGCCCATGCATGACTGCGCTGGCGCTGAGTGCACCTGCTTGCACATGGCACAGACAGGCCCCACCACGTGACTTCACAGCACATACAGATCTAATGAGACTTTTAATACACACTGCTCACACAAAGCCTACGTGCTGCTCCCTGCTCCAAGGCCTGGGTTTCTCCCTTGTGCTGACGTTGTTTAACAACTCGTTACGCTTCCATTTTTCTCACATTAAAGTGCCACAAATCCACTTGGGCAATTTCCAAAGGCAAAAAGTATGGCAGGGTTTCCTTGCCATGATTACTTTTAAAGCCTATGAAGTATATTTTTCAGCAGCACTTTCTTTTAAAGTATTTTAAATGCCAATTTTGTTTTTTTCTGAAACATTATTATCTCCAACGTTAAACGCTACCAGCAGCTTATGTCAGAAACTTCCCTCTGTTTGATTAAACCAGCTTTGCAAAGGTACAAATACTATTTTCTGAACACTTTGTTAAAGGACATTAGCAGTGAGTCTATTTATTTACTAACATTTGCTCCATTAGATTTGAAACATTCTTCTAGTTCAGTTTACACCAAAAAAAGTGCAACATTTTGGCTAGGAAGGACAGGAATAGAGCAAGCAACTGCATCAAAACCAGTTTAGTTTTATTTCCATTTAATAAAACATTTTATTTTAAAAGCACTGTGCAAAAATAAATAAATAAGCAATGTCAATAATCTTTAATTTTTCTCTTTTTTACTTTCACAACGTGTATGTGAAAAAATAACCAGCTGGAACTCTAGTTTGCCTGGGACTCAATAAATGAGCCATGCTCAATTGCTACTGAATATACTTCTAACCTCTAGGATGAACTGTAAACATTGCAAGGATTAGGCACTTCAAGTGAACTATAGAAAGAAAAATAATTAAAAATCTATTATCATTACTACGACTGGTGAGTTCTACTCTCTCCTTTTCAGCCAATACTAGTAAGTTCAACTTTGACTGTAACAAAGTTTGTTTTTATATATTTTAAAGTAAATATATGCTGAAGTTTTCTGGCTTCTACAGTTCATTAAACATAGCTCACCACACATTTGAAGCATTTTTTTTTCTTAGAACCAGATGATTTTTAAACCTAACTACAGTAAGTGGTTTGTTTAGCAACCACATCCATCTTCAGTAATGGGAGAAACCCAGGGTTTATATACAAAAGCTGGTTAAAAGCACACAAGATAAATAAAATAAAAATACAGTAAAAGGTGTTTTTCCTTTTTTCCAGCCACTAAGCTTCATGCACTCCAAATATGTAACACTTAGTCCAGATGGTTATGGTCATGCTCTATCACCTAAGTTGTCTAACTTGCCTCTTTTTTGGAATTTAATCCAGGTGCTACACAGAGAGAAAAAGTACGCTCTGTTAACACCACTCTCTATTAATACTAACGAAACCACTATGCACTTTCAAATCTAAACATTGTATTTTTCTAAAATACACAGGTTTTACATCATTCTAATCACATCCCACTCCAACAGGCAGGCTAATAAGAAAATGAAAAATAATTTACAATAATTTTGAGTTTCATCTGTAACTCTTTTTATGTGAATAAGGCTCAGTGGTGACAGTGGTTCATAAGCACTGATTCTTACCCTAACCATTAACTCAATTCATCCATTCACACTTTGATGGCTTTAATCTTTCAAAACACTCATAAATTTTAATTTTTGGTACTTATTCTCAGTTGGGAAAGCTGCAAGTGTGTGGCTGCATTCTGCAACTTTTTAAGAGCTAGAAGTTTTAGCTGTTTTAATAAGAATTATAATTTTATCACTTGATTACTTACAGCTCTTCAGTATTTCTTCTAATGTTGTAAAGTGTGGCTAAACAGAGATGCAGCTGTGAATTATTAATTCTAAATTCTGCATGGAATGCTGTACTCCCCAAATCATGCTAAAATAAAGAATGCTTTCAGGTTAAAAAGGTAAATTGTTCCTAATTAGAGCTAAATAATGTTATGGTGTCCTCTAGATCTAGCCTAATTAAAAGAGCATTCCAAAGGTCAAAAGTTAATTTATATTAATAAATCATAAAGGTTCATAATTGCATCTGGTGCACTATTTTAATTACTAATAAAAAATATGCTTTGAAAGCTATTTCTTGTTACCATTGTGTGAAACGTTATAATTGATCCTATATCGAAAAGATTCTGTTTACATATTCTTTTGTTCTGTTTGGATGCTTGGGTTTCAGCTCCAAAGGCAAATCAGCTTGTGCTAATAATCTTCAACTCAACTCACAAAATGCACCTAATGACCACTTAAAGTAAAGCCAGCAGTTTTCTAATTAAAATAATTATTTCCAAGCACTGTGTTTGCCCTGCAATAGCCAAACATTTGACTCATCTTCATAACCTCTCTGTATATAGAAGGTTGAAGCTGGAAGATATTCCAAGATTTTTTTGAAAGGACAAAAATTCCGAACAACTGTGAATATTCATGAGTTCAAAGTGCAGAAACAGGTGTCTACCTACAGTCACATGTATGACCTGCTTGAATATACTACCCTATATCCTCATCTCCATAGAGAATTTTCTTTTTCTGTAGGGGTTGATTATTCACAACAATAGAAAGCAGCCATGCAAGTACTGGAATATTCATGTTTTCATGCAATTTGACTGGCAGTCCTGTAATTGTGGTAAGCTGCTTTGACCAAGGTTTCTATAGCAACAGCCTTACTGTCAATTCTTACCTGTTTTCTGGTCATCCATTGTACTGAGCTTAGTCTCGTCAGCTACTGTTAAAAGGTAAATGTATAATGGTTAGCCCAGTTAGTGCCCATGCCCCACATGCATCCAACATTCCTTGTTTTGCATATTGTTTTTTTCAAGTTAGGGAACCTTAGCAATGTCATACTTCATGCAAATAAACTGCAACAGTAAGCAAACATTCTGGGTAGAAATGGCAGCAAACTAGTAACTTTCATGCAATGTCAGTCATGTTCACATCACAGGCAGGTACAATATGTTATTTACACGTTAGCACATCACAACTAGTCAAGACAAATCAATACCACCAACCTAAGTGTCCCCTGACAAAGTTGGTGAATTAGGGATTGTAGTTAAGATATTCCCAATTATTGTAAAGGAGTGAATCTTATTAAATTTTATTATTCTGAGTAAGGAATTTGGTGTCTTTAAACGACCAAAACTCACTGTTTACGGTTACCAGATTCTGCAGTTCAGAATCTAAATTCAATGGCAGAAAAATAAGTGGGCTTGTTAGTGATTACTTATTCTCTGTCATTTTACCAGTTAAAATTATTATAGTAGATTGCTTGTCTTAGCCACTGCTCCTTTATAGGGCTTCAAGGCTCATTTACAGGATACAAATACTAAAACTCTGGTCTCAACCAGATGTGAGACTAACCCCATTTTCTAATTCTGAAGGAACTCCTCAAAAAAGTACTGGCAACTTTAATATTTTAATCAAAAATCCATCTACAAAATGAGAAACTACAAAGGATCTTTTAAGGATAATCAAATCCTAATAATGTACTGAGAATAATCCTGTCTACCCATAACCACAGCATGGTACAGTTTAATGCAGTTATTCTGTGTGGATTGGTAAATGCACTTTTCACCTCCATTTTAGTAAGTACCATTTATGTTTAAATATAACCATATATTCAGAGGCCTACGATATTTAAATGTATGGACATTTACAAGTGGTACAAAGAATACACAGGCCACTTGGCCATTCATGTAAAGAATACTTTACTTCCCACCAGTAGACATTACGAGCAGTAGTGTTGTACATAAATGATGTCTTTGGAATGACAAAATCTATATACTTACAACATGAAAATCAGGTTCAAATAAAAGAATTGAAGAAATATCACTCACTACCTAGATCCATGCTTTTGGACTTTCGTGTTTTAACAAACTCCAACTGACTGGCATCTGAAAATTGCTTTGTACGCTTTTCTGACATGCTCTGGCGTCCAAAACCCTCTCGCTGGAACGCAAGCACTGGATCAACATCTGGACTAAGAGTGCTGTGGGAAGGGAAAAAAATCATGCAAACATTTATCAAGATCACGCAACCTTTCATTCTGCAGAGAAAAGCATTTATTTAGCACAGGACTTCTACCAGCAATCAAGTACACATTTTTAAATAAACCACTGCAAGGAGACAGTTACACACACGATGGATTTGTTTTACTGCATCAGCAAGTACAGTTACAAAGAATCAAGAATTTCACCTAAGAGTTTTAATAAAAGGAGCATGCATTTGGTGTAGTACATATACACTATCAGAATGTACAGCCTCAACACGGGAATAACTTCAACTAGTATAAAACAGTTCCGTTTTCTTCATAAGAAACAAATATTCTGTTCATAGTAAATTGTCAGATTTTTCTTAATGCCAAAATATTTTTAGTTAAGCATAACTAGAATCTGTCCTGTCTGAAGCCTACAGACCTTTAATAAATGTCTTCATTTGAAGTCCTCGTATTAAAATTTCTCTCCACATGTGAAATCACTTGCAAATTTTTCACAGTATCTCCTCATTTTAACCTAGCTATGACAAAATGTATTTTCACTCACTTCTCTACTGAGCAAGTATTTGACACTAAGGTTGCACCACTAATTGGGAATTGCAGGTGACTGGACTCAGTTCTGGCCTCTTCTGCTTTATCAGATGCATGCTGAAGACTGATTTATTCGTGTTCATCAAATGTTGGTAGAATTATGGGTGCAGGAAT